GGGTCTCGAACCCATGGGCTCAGGCAATCCACTCACCTCAGCCTCCCAAAGGCAGGGGATTACAGGCTGAGCCACCAAGCCCAGCTCATTTTATTTTATTTATGTTATATTATTTTATTTTATTGACTTTATATTTTTTTGAGTTGGAATCTTACTCTGTCTACCAGGCTGCAGTGCAGTGGTACACTTGTGGCCACCACAGCCCTGACCTGCTGGGCTCAGTTGATCCTTCTGCCTCCACCTTCCAAGTAGCTGGAGCTACAGACACACACCACCACCTGATCCATGTGGCCTTTACTCAGTTTTAAATTTTTGTGTGTCCTAGCATGTTTTGAGTTATTCAATAAAGTTTAATGAATTAATTGATCTTTGCTGTAAGACCAGCTGATGTAGTAGGAAAGGCCTGGGCTTTGCAGTGGTCTTGGTTTTGACCAACTCTGCCACTTTATTAGCTCAGTGACCTTAGGGAAGTTACGTTGTGACTTGGTTTGTAATTTTTTATAGAAGGGAGTTAGTAATACCTAGCTCACTGGATTATTCTGATGAATATGTAAGATTACATATTAAATTTCCTATCATGGTTCAAAAGAAACCTACCATGGATTGGCCAAAGCCGCTTTCAGCAACCATATTGTATGAGGATACATAGAGCTGTATGCTTTTTTAAGAACCAGTAAGAAGAGATAAAGAGATAATTGGAAGCCGGGCTCGGTGGCTCAGCCTGTAATCCCACACTTTGGGAGGCTGAAGTGGGTGGATTGCCTGAGCCCGTGGGTTCGAGACCCGCCTGGGCAACTTGGCGACACCTCATCTCTACAATAAATCAAAAAAATTAGCTGGGCGTGGTAGCCTGTAATTCCAGCTACTTGGAAGGCTGAGGCGGAAGGATCACCGGAGCCCAGCAGGTCAAGGTTGCGGTGGCCAGGCATGCCCCTGCATTCCAGTCTGGGCGACAGAGTGAGACTGCAATAAAAAATTTAAAAAGAGAGAGAGAGATAATTGGAAGTGCTTTTTTCTTCTCTCCACAGGACTGTGCTTAAGAGTAAAACTTCAGCGGTGTTTACCATTTAAACATAAGGTAAGAAAGACATATTTTATTGTTGTTTTAGAACAACTGTATTGAGATATAGTTCATATGCCATACAATTTTCCTATTTAAAATGTACAATTCAGTGGTTTCTAGTGTATTCACAGAGTTGTGCAACCATTACTACAGTCAGTTCTAGAACATTTTCATCACCCCCAAAAGCTAACTCTGTACCCATTAGCAGTCACTGCCCATTTCCCCAACCCTTCCCCCATCCCTAGACTCATCTACTCATCTACTTTCTGTCTTTATAGATTTGCCTATTCTGGAGATGTCGTTTAAATGCAGTCATATAATATGTAGCCTTTTGTGTCTGTCTTCTTTGACTTAGCATAATTAGCATGTATCAGTGTTTCATTTCATTCCATTGCATGGGTGTTCCACATTTTATGTATCTGTTCATCAGTTGGTGGACCTTTGGGTTGTTTTCACTTTTCGTCTGTTATGAACAATGCTGCATTTGTGTATAAGTTTTGTTTTTGTTTTAGATTGGAAAATATAGATTATTTAGAAAGTAAATTAGAGAGAGAAAGCGTGTGCACGGCCATGTGTACAGGTTTTTGTGTGGCAATATGTTTTCATTTCTCTTCCACCTAGGAGTGGAATATGGTAACTCTGTTTATCATTTTGAGGAATTGCTGACTTGTTTTCCACAGTGGCTGCACCATTCTATAGGAGGGTTCAGACATCACCATATCCTCTTCAACATTTGTTGTGATTTGCCTTTTTGATTATAACCATCCTTAATGGGTCTTAAGTGATATCTCAAAGTGGTTTTGATTTGCATTTCCCTGATGGCCAATAATGTTGAGCATCTTTTCATGTGCTTTTTGGCCAGTGGTATATATTTTAGGTTTTTTTGTTTGTTTTGTTTTTGTTTTGAATTGGTGTCTTACTCTGTCGCCCAGGCTAGAGTGCAGTGGCACGCTCACGGCCACTGCAGCCTCGACCTGCTGGACTCAGGTGATCCTGCCACCTCAGCCTTCCAAGTAGCTGGAAATACAGGCGCACACCACCACGTCCGGCTTATTTTTTGATTTATTGTAGAGACGAGGTCTCGCCAAGTTGGCCATGCTGGTCTTGAACCCTTGAGTTTAGGCAGTCCTCTCACTTCAGCCTCTCAAAGTGCTGGGAATATACATTTGAGCCATTGTACCTGGCTTAGACATGTCTTTATCATACATTATGCTTTCTTTGCTGCAAGATGTGCAATAATTTTTGTGGGTTGGCTCAAAAACTACGGGTCTTGGAGGTTAGCTGATTTGTAGGGAGGTGCAGCAGGGCCAGGTGGGATAGCCTAGCCACTATTATACTTAAGAATAAATTTAGCAGCCGGGCTCGGTGGCTCAGGCTGTAATATGCGCTTTGGGAGACTGAGGTGAGTGGATTGCCTGAGCCCACGGGTTCGAGACCCACCTGTATATTGTAACCTCATTTTTGTAAAACAAGCAGTGAAGAGAAACTAACACTCTTGGGGTGTGTGTGTGTAAAATCTGTGTAAGAATATGTGGGTATAGAGAAAAATATGGGAGAAACTACACCAGATTGTTAATGTAACTTTCCTGGGGGTTGGGGCAGAAGGAAATCTAGATACTGATCTGGGAAGAAGTAGAGTGTAGAGGAGAGATATTCATAAGTAAAACAACATGTATGAGATCTCTGGAGTGCAGTGGCTGTTCCCGGCCACTGCAGCCTCGACCTGCTGGGCTCCGGCCATCCTTCCGCCTCGGCCTTCCAAGTAGCTGGAACTATAGGCGCGTGCTACCACGCCCAGCTAATTTTTGATTTACTGTAGAGATGAGGTCTCGCCAAGTTGCCCAGGTGGGTCTCGAACCCACAGGCTCAGGCAATCCACTCACCTCAGCCTCCCAAAGCGCTGGAATTACAGGCTGAGCCACCGAGCCTGGCAAGATCTCATTGTATTTATGTCTATTCATTTACCAATATCTATTCATTTAAAATTGTATTTATGTCTATTCATTTACCAATATGAATGGAAGTACCCTCAGCAGGCCTTTCCCTGCAAATTTAAAACTGCTAGTTTCATCCTTGTTTTAGAGAAGAATGTTAGAGGTTGGGCGCAGTGGCTCATGTCTAAAATCCCAGCACTTTGGGAGACCAAGGCAGAAGGATCGCTTGAGCCCAGGAGTTTGAGACCAGCCTGAGCAACGTAGTGAGACTACATCTCTATTAAAAAATAAAATAAAATAAAATAAAAATTTTTAAAAATAAAATGAGAGGTCCATCCTGAGTCTTTAGTGTTAGGAACAGAGTTCGAGCTTTATCCCTAGAATCTTGAACTCACTGTATGTTCCACCTTACTCCGTCATCCAAGAACTCTCCAATGTTTTGCTTTCATTATTGTTTTTCTTTCCAGTTGGAAATATACATTTCTGAAGGAACCCACTCAACAGAAGAAGACAGTAAGTGAATATCAAAACATTGAAAAACACCTTCAGAGAGCACTTTATCTTAGATACTGGGTTATTTGGCTAGCCAAGTGTCTTCTACTGGGTCATTTGCAGAAAGTGCAGTTATGTCTCTTCCTTCACAGATGGGAAACACAAGCATTTCAAGGAAGTAGTTTTTTTTCCATAAGACTCTGAGTGAACGATAGCTCATGGATGTTGACTGGTTTCGGCCAGTAGCTACACATCTGTAAAGAATACGCAGCTTTAAGAAACCTTGACTTGCCGGGCTCGGTGGCTCAGCCTGTAATCCCACACCTTTGGGAGGCTGAGGTGAGTGGATTGCCTGAGCCTGCAGGTTCAAGACCCGCCTGGGCAGCGAGACCTCATCTCTACAATAAATCAAAAATCAGCCAGGCGTGGTAGTGCATGCCTGTAATTCTGGCTACTTGGAAGGCTGAGGCGGAAGGATCGCCAGAACCCAGCAGGTCGAGGCTGCGGTGGCCGGGAGCGGCCACTGCACTCCAGTCTGGGCAACAGAGAGACTCCAACTCAAGAAAAAAAAAAAAAAAGAGCCTTGACTTACAAGCTCTAAAGAGGACTTGATTCTTTTCTTTGGCAGGATAGAGAACTGTGTGTTTGAAACTGAAGCTGAAGATCTAGCAAGTAAAGCGTTAGGGAATCTTGGGGTAAATGCGGTTTCTGGCTTAATAAGTTAGAATGAGAGTGGGAACCTTTTTTATGTAGAGAACCTCTGGCCTACAGAGAGAAGTCAATCAAGAGCCACCTAAAAATAGAAGAGGTGGGATTTGGGAAAAGCAAAAGACAAAATGTTCTACATGGTCTATGTGTTACATTAAAAGTAGAATTTTAAGACCAGGGACCGGTGGCTTATACCTCCAATCCCAGTGCTGTGGGAGGCTGACCCAGGAGGATCACTAGACCAAGAGTTCAAGACTAGCCTGGGCAACATAGTCTCTCAGACTGCATCTCTACAAAAAAAAATTTTTTTTTAATTAGCTGGGCATGGTAGTGCATGCCTATTTGAGAGTCTGGGGTGGGAGGAACATTTGAGCCCAAGAGTTCAAGGTTGCGATGAGCTGTGATTGTACCACTATGCCCCAGCCTGGTGACAGAGCAAGACCCTGTCTCAAAAAACAAATGAAGAAACTGAATTTTAATGTTTTTAATCTACAAGTGATAGAGTGCAAATAATGAGAAATACATTTTAAATGCATATTGTAGTGAGCTTTTACCACTAGGTAGATTGAGAAGGTGGAATAAGAAAAAAGAGTTGAAGCAAGATGATAATAGAGTAAGAGCATCAGTGAGATAGATGAAGACTCAGAAAGGAAGACACAGAGGAAGACTCAGAAACACACACATAGGGTTGGGGGGAGATGTGCAAAACCTCCCACATAGAAGAGAGGTATAGAGAGGGAAGTCTGCTACTTTCAGAACAGGAAACTTTTTAGGCACTGTCAAGAAAACTTTTTTTGAGTTGCGGTCTCCAGGTTGGAGTACAGGGCACAATCATGGCTCATTGCAGCCTTGACCTCCTGGGCTCAGGCAATCCTCCCACCTCAGCCTCCTGAGTAACTAGGACTGCAGGCACACACCACCACACCCAGCTAACTTTTTGATTTTTTATAGAGACAAGGTCTTGCTATGTTGCTCAGGCTGGTCTTGAACTCCTGGGCTCGAGCAATCCTCAGTCTCCCAAAGTGCTGGTTTTATAGGCATGAGCTACCATGCCGGGCCATGAAAACTATTAAAACCACAGTTCCAGACATGTAGATTATTATACTCCTCATGGGCTAAATTTTGTTTTGTTTTGTTTTGTTTGTTTTTTGAGTTGGAGTCTCACTCCATCGCCCAGACTGGAGTGCAGTGGCCGCTCCCCGCCACCGCAGCCTTGACCTGCTAGGCTCCGGCGATCCTTCCGCCTCAGCCTTCCATGTAGCCGGAATTACAGGTGGGCACTACCACGCCCGGCTAATTTTTTGATTTATTGTAGAGATGAGGTCTCGTTGCCCAGGTGGGTCTCGAACCCGCGGGCTCAGGCAATCCACTCACCTCAGCCTCCCAAGGCGCGGGATTACAGGCTGAGCCACCGAGCCCGGCTTCATGGGCTAAATTTATTCAAACCCCATAAGCTGAGAACTTCTACCTCTAATTTAAAAAATAAGATTTTAGGACAGACTCAGTGGCTCAGCCTGTAATCCCAGCACTTTGGGAGGCGGGATGAGTGAATTGCCTGAGCCCGCGAGTTTGAAACCAGCCTGGGAAACTTGGCAAAACCTCGTCTCTACAACAAATAAAAAATTAGCCGAGTGTGGTAGCGCTTTCCTGTAGTTCCAGCTACTTGGAAGGCTGAGGCGAAAGTTATCACCGGAGCCCAGCAGGTCAGTGCTGGGGTGGCCATGAGTGTGCCACTGCACTCCAGCCTGGGTGATAGAGTGAAATGTCAACTCAAAAGTGTTTAGGCCAGGCGCGGTATTTGAAGTTTGTAATCCCAGCACTTTGGGAGGCCGAGGCGAGAGGATTGCCTGAGCCCAGGGATTCGAGACGACCCTGGGCAACTTGGTAAGACCTCATCTCTACAATGTATCAAAAAATTAGCCAGGCATGGTAGTGTGCGCCTGTAGTTCCGGCTACTTGTCTGAGGCGGAAGGATTTCCTGAGCCCAGTGGATCAACACTGGGCTGGCTGTGAGCATGCCACTGCACTCCAACCTGGGCGACGCAGTGAGACTCTGACTCAAAAAAAATAAAAATAAGAACTTAAATAACCTAAATCCCCTCAGGTTATCCTTTTGAAACTCCTCTGAATTGTAGGATTTTGTAACAGCAGGAGTATTAAGTCTTATGTTTGTGGTTTTTTATTTGGCAATTATTTACTAAGTGCCTTCTATTTAGGAATAGTTCAGCCTTTGCGATATATCCCCGCCCTTGTGGAGCCTACATTGTAGTAGGAAAAAACAGAATGCATTGAAATTATTTACACAGACATATAAATACCTATGTGCATGTTCTACATGAGACATATTAGCAGCATCCCAGAAAATTTGTGTTAAGAATATGGAGATCTCTTTTGAACTCTTCCGTTAAGAGTACTATTAGCTGGGGGGGAGGGGGAGGGGATTAACAGTAGCAAATATCTGTCTGGGGCTGGGAAAACACCTCTTATCAACAGGGTGTCTGAATGAAACGTAATTGTACACCTAACCCTTAACTGTACCCCACAAAACTATAATAAAAATACTGATTAATTATTAAAAAAAAAAAAAAAAAAAGAGTACTATTAGCAAATGATAAACAATATAGTAGGTCAATACCCTTATTGTATATGGATCCATGGAAACTGATTTTTTTTTTAAAAGACCCTGTAGATTAATAGGAAGAGACATGAACGGGAAATTCACACAAGAAGAATTAGTAAGTAAATGTGGAGAACGTTCTGTTTTACTATTAATCAAGGAAATGTAAATTACAACAATAATTTGGAGACATTTTTCACCTCCTATTTGGTGTGTGTGTATTCATTTTTATTAATAATACCGGGTATTGCTGGAAGACTAATAGCTCATGTATTGCTGTTGACAATGTAAATGTGTAAATAATCTTTGAAAGTAATTCAGTGATATGAATCAAACCATAAAAACATTCATACCTTGTGGTTTATTTTTTATTTTTTATTTTTTTTTTTTTAGTTGAAGTCTCCCTCTATCACCCAGGCTGGAGGTCAGTGACATGCTCATGGCCACAGCAGACTTGAGCTGGGCTCAGGTGATCCTTCTGCCACAGCCTTCCAAGTAGCTAGAACTATAGGTATATAACACCACACCTGGCTAATTTATTTTTTTATTTTTTGAGTTGGAATCTCACTCCATCACCCAGACTGGAGTGCAGTGGCTGCTCCTGGCCACCGCAGCCTCGACCTGCTGGGCTCCGGCAATCCTTACGCCTCAGCCTTCCAAGTTGCCGGAATTACAGGTGCGTGCTACCACACCTGGCTAATTTTTTGATTTTATTGTAGAGATGAGGTCTCGCTGCCCAGGTGGGTCTCGAACCCGCGGGCTCAGGCAATCCACTCACCTCAGCCTCCCAAAGGCGCGGGATTACAGACTGAGCCACCAAACCCGGCTCCCGCTAATTTATTTATTTATGTATTTATTTATTTATTGTAGAGATGAGGTCTCCAAGTTGCCCAGGTTGGTATCAAGCCACGGGGCTCAGGCAGTCCTTTGACCTTGGCCTCCCAAAGTGCTGGGATTACAGGCATGAGCCACTGCACCCAGTCTAATCTCATTTTTTAACAGTTTTTTTTCTTTAATTTAAAGATGTGGGGTAGAATTCAGGTTAGGTATACAAATGTTCATTATGCAGTTACCCTTGTTGATGAGGTGTGCCTCTCCCTCCCCTGGTTGTTTCCCTAAACTGCCAATCCCACCCTACAGTTTTGTTGTGTTTTGTTTTTTGCATTGGAGTCTCACTCTTGTCGCCCAGGCTAAAGTGCAGTGGCACACTTATGGCCACCAGAGCCTCTACCTGCTGGACTTAGGCGATCCTTCCACCTCAGCCTTCCAGGTAGCTGGAACTACAGATGCATGCCTCCACACCCAGCTAGTTTTTGTGATTTATTGTAGAGACAGGGTCTCACTAAGTTGCCCAGGTTGGTCTCGAACCCCCGGGTTTAGGCAATCCTCTCAAAATGCTGGGATGACAGGCTGAGCCATTGTGCCTAGCCTCTTTTTTTTTTTTTTAGTTGGAATCTCACTCTATCGCCCAGACTGGAGTGCAGTGGCACGCTCCCGGCCACCGCAGCCTCCACCTGCTGGGGTCTGGCAATCCTTCCACCTCAACCTTCCAAGTAGCTGGAACTACAGGCACATGCTACCATGCCCAGCTAATTTTTTGATTTATTGTAGAGATGAGGTCTTGCCAAGTTGTCTCGAACCCGCAGGCTCAGGCAATTCCCTCACCTCAGCCTCCCAAAGCGCGGGATTACAGGCTGAGCCACTGAGCCTGGCTTGCAACTGGCCACTTTTTAACGGTTTTTAAAATGGTGAGCTGTCTTGTGAAAAATAAAATATTTACAAAAAGAAAAGCTCTATGTTTTAACGTGCTCATTATAGCACAGTCTTCCTAATTACTTTAGAACACTTACAACTTTTACCACATTAAATAACCCTGTAGTTTAAAATACAGGCTTGAGGGCCAGGCATGGTGGCTCACATCTGTAATCCCAGTGCTTTGGGAGGCAGAGGCAAGAAGATTGCCTGAGCTCAGGATTAGAGAACAGCCTGAGCAACATGGTGAGACCTCATCTCTTAATAAATAAATAAATAAATAGCCAGGTGTGGTGGTACACGCCTGTGGTTCCAGCTACTTGGAAGACTCAAGCAGAAGGATCAGTCTAGCAGGTCAAGGCTGCGGTGGCCATGAGTGTGCCACTGCCCTCCAGCCTGGGTGACAGTGCGACTCTAACTCAAAAAATTTAAGTCTGCTTTCCAGGCCTTGGAAATTACATTATGGATAATTAACCAAAAGCAGTTTTAAGTTCTCAATGAGTTAAATTTTTTATTTTAGCAGGCTAATAAAAATAATGTCTGGTGCTGTATATTGACACAGTTCTGCTAACTGTTGTCTTTGTATTTTTCAGTCAATAAGCAGATAAATGACAAAGAACGAGTGGCAGCGGCAATGGAAAACCCCAGCTTAAGGGAAATTGTGGAGCAGTGTGTCCTTGAACCTGACTGATGGCTGTTTTAAGAACCACGGAACTGTAATTGCTTGATATCTTTGTTTAAACTCTTTGTATAATGTCAAAGACTCCTGTTTAATAAATAGGTGGTTTGTACCTCAAAGCATTTTTTAAAAGGCTTATTTCCAAGCAAGATTTAATGATAAGGCAGTACCTAATTTGTTCAATGTATAACATTCTCAGGATTTGTAACATTTAAATGGTCAGAGAGAATAATATTTTCTAGTTATGTGTGAGATGGGTTGCTATTTTTCTGATGCCTATTCTGATGCAACTACTTTTCATGTCAAATATCTACTGTGCCCAGATATATTCAATTTAAATCATTACTCTGTAAAATAAAGACAACAGATGATTCTTACAGTGACTCACTGTTTTTATTGAGTTGTAAATTCCAGCGTAAATGTCAACTCCTAAAAGATATTTTCCTTTTTTAAATTTATTATTATTATTATTATTATTATTATTATTATTTTGAGTCAGAGTCTGATTTTGTTGTCCAGCCTAGCAGGCAGTGGTGTGCTCACAGCTACCGCAGCCTGGGCTCAGACAATCCTTCCACCTCAGCCTTCCAAGTAACTGGAAGTATAGGCGCAAGCCACCACACCTGGCTAATATTTTTGGTTTGTTGTAGAGACAAGTTCTTGCCAAGTTGCCCAGGCTGATCTCCAGTGCCTGGATTCAGGTAATCCTCTGGTCTCTGCCTCCTAAAGTGCTGGGATTACAGACGTGCACCACCACACCCAGCTCTAAAATATATTTTCAAAATTTTATTTTTGCTGATTATTATGTAGAGTCCCAGAAATCTGAGAACCAAAGGAAACCTTGAGGTCAAGCCTTGCAGGAAAATCCTAGACCCATTTACAAATGAGGAGCAAATATGGAAAGGACCAGATGACATACACAGTTATGAAGATCAAGAAGTCCCCCAGGCCAAGTGTGATGGCTCATACGTGTAATCCCAGCACTTTGGGAAATTGAGGCAAGAAGATCACTTGATCCAACCTGGGAAACTATGAGACCTCATCTCTACAAAAAAAAAAAAAGAAAGAAAATAATAGAAATCCCCTGAAGAAGATTTTATTAAATAAATCTAAATATATGCACGCACCTGTACTTCCAGCTACTTGGGAGGCTGAGGCGAAAGAATTGCCAGAGCCCAGCAGGTCGATGCTGGGGTGGCCATGAGTATGCCACTGCAATCCAGCCTGGGTGACAGAGTGAGACTCTGACTCAAAAAACAAAAGAAAATTCACATTGGCTCTTCTTTCCTCTCTCTCTTTTTTTTTTTTTTT